GCTCAGAGGTTAAGAGCACTAGCTGTTCTTCTAAAGGTCCTGAATTCAATTCCCAACAACCACACGGTGGCTCATAATCATCTATAATAAGAGCTAGTGCCCTCTTCTGGCCTGTAGGCTCACATGCAGGCAGAATACTATATAAAATAAATCTTAAAAAAAAAAAAAAAAAAAAAAAAAAACAAAACAAATCTTCCCAGTTTTATTACAAAATAACACACATTTCTTGTAAAAAGATACCTAGAACATCGCAAAGTTTAAGATGGAATGGTGAGCACTGCCTGTCATCCTGAATGGGAAGTAGAGGCAGGAAGACGGCCAGGCTGGAGTTCAGGCCAAGCTGGTATATGCCGCAAGACCTGTCTCAAAAAAACTTTGTATTTTTTTCTATCTCCTCTAAATTGCAAATCCTTATAAACAGCAATTACACTTTAAAATCCTTCCATATTTCTTTTATATATAATAAATAATTATTTGTTTTTAAAACTGGGGCCAAACCATACAGATTAACCCTCTAACTCCCATTTACTGTAACATGGTGGCTTTCAATGATGGCTCTTTAAAGTTTGTGGAGAGGATGGCTCTTGTCACCAAGCCTGATGACCTGAGTTTCATCTCCAGCACCCACTTAAGGGAAGAAAGAAAAGTGAGTATGCAAAGGTGACTTCTGACTTCCACATGTACACCATGACGCACTCAAGCCCAAATAGACACATACACACAGACAATTTAAAAAATTAATTAAAGGGCTGGAGAGATGGCTCAGTGGTTAAGAGCACTTTCTGCTCTTCCAGAAGTCCTGAGTTCAATTCTCAGCAACCACGTGGAGGCTCACAACCATTTATACAGGGATCTGATGCCCTCTTCTGGCCTGCAGGTATACATGCAGACAGAGCACACATATATGTAAAATAAATAAATCTTAAAAAAAAATTAATTGAAAACTAAACAGAACCATGCAGTAGTGGCACATGCATTTAATCTCCAGCACTTGGAGGCAGAGGCAGGTGGATCTCTGAGTCCAAGGACAGCCAGGGCTACACAATAAAACCCCGTTTTGAAAAACCAACCAACCAAACAAACAAACAAAAAGAATAAACAGAAAATGTGTCCCCAGAAAATATCCCTGTGTGTCTTGCATAGACTTCCCACAATGAGAACCACACTTTCTATTTTTCATTTTTTATTTCTTGAGACAGGGTCTATGTAGCCCTGGCTCACCTGGAACTTGCCATATAGACCAGGCCGGCCTCATACTCACAGAGATCTGCCAGTCTCTGCTTCTTGAATGCTGGAATTAAAAGTGTGCAACACCAAACTGACCAAGGTCCGTACTTTCTAATCTCAGGTCTCTTCATACTTTTAGAAAATCAATGATGGCCCAAAGACCTTTAGTTTATACTGCTTATCTCAAATACTGCCCACATTAAAAACTAAAACTGGGCCATGCAGTGGTGGTGCACACTTTTAATCCTAGCACTCAGGAGGCAGAGGCCGGCTTGGTCTACAGAGCGAGTTCCAGGACAGTCAGGGCTACACAGAGAAACCCTGTCCAAAAAAAAAAAAAAAAAAAATTCTGAAATTGAAATTTTGAAGTATATCGATGTATTAGAGCAAAATTAAGCATTTTACTATTTATTTTTAAAAATATAACTGTTTCCTCCCAAACAAATAAGCTTGGTTGATAAGCAAGCTCCTTCCTGAGCTTCTCAGGGGCCGACTGCCTTGTGGGATCTGAAGCATCACTGCTCTTCTCTACAGTTACGGTGAAAACTGCTCCCTCACCTTGCAGCCTGAAGGCACCTCTCACCCCACTGTGCCCTAGTATCACTTATGACCTACTGACCCCTTACAGAACACTGGCTCCCTGACCACACCTGGAAAGATCATACTGGTATGGAAAGCACAGCAGCAATACAAATTCTCAAGTAAAAATGGCAGTCCAAAATTTAAAAAAAAAAAAAAAAAAAAATTAAAAAGTGGCTATGGCATTCAGGCCACCATGCAAACACTGCTCCAATGTTGTTACTGGGGACCCCATCTCACTTCGGTATGCAGCTAAGAGGTCTACACATGTTCCTATTAGATCTCAGAGTGTGAAAAGTATGTGTATACATGCTGGCAAGATGGGTTGAAGAAGCTTGCCAGGCAAGCCTGACAAACTGAGTTGACTTCTGGAACCCATGTACTGGCAGAAAAAGACAACAGCCTCTCCATAGTTGTCCTCTGACCTAACTACACACACACATCCCAGGCATACATTCCCATACACACAATAATAATAAATGAAGTTTACTTTTACACAGACATAAAAGATGAAGGCAGGTTGAAAGTACCTACAATCTCAGCACTTGGGAAGTGGAGACGAAAGGAGCACAACGGTTAAGACCATCCTCTGCTACTACAAACTGAGTTAGAGGCCTGCCCAAGCTGCATTAGAACGTGTCTCTCCTCTGAGCCTCTGAAAGGGATCACAAACACCCAGCCCAGGCCTCCTGGACATGGCGTTCCTGGGCCATTGGTAGCCTTGTTTTTAGTTTAGCTAGAACTCTGAAAGTCTCCACCAACTTTCACTATCTGAAGCTACATCATAACCACCAGATAACAACATTTTAGGTTGTGAGTTTGAAGGATTGTAACAAATTGTCACTTATCTACCTCAAACCAATACTAAAAAGAACTAAGGACTCAAATGACTCAAGGTAGAGTAAAAAGCAAGGTGCCCACACTTACCTGAGTTGAAGTATTTTTGTGTAAGAAAAGAAAATGTCAGGCTAGAGAGATGGCTCAGCAGCCAAGAGCACATACTGCTGTAGCAGCTTCAAGAAGGAGCAGTGTCTCTGGCCTCCACAGGCACCTGCACTCATGTGCACATAAAAGAAAAGAAGGAGCTAGAGAAATGATCTGGTGATTAAGAGCACTGGCTGCTCTTCTAGAGGACCAGGGTTTGATTCCCAGCAATCCACAAGGCGCCTCAAAACCACCCGTAACTCCAGTTCCAGGGTTTCCCATGCCCTCTTCTGGCCTCTGCAGACCCTTGCACAGGTGATACACAGAAAAATACATACACATAAACATTTTTAAAGCAATTAGAATAATAAAAGTAAATAAACAGATAAGAGGAAAAACTAACAACAATAAAAAGAAGAACTGGAGAGAGCTAAGAACATTTGTTGCGCCTACAGAGACCTAGGTTCAATTCCCAGCACCCACACAGTGGCTCATGACTATCTGTAACTCCAGTTCCTGCAATCCAACATCCTCGTCTGACCTCATGGATCCCAGACACTAATGCAGTGCACATACACACAAGCAGACAAAACACTCATGTACATAAAACAAAATAAACCTTAAAAAGAAACTTCAATTATCAAATGTTGTAAGTTCACCCAAAAACAACCATTGTTTATAGTGGCCACCTATTGTTAAGTAGTATTTCTGATTGAATTTCAAAGTGTACAAGACCCTTGTATAATACATTTGCTTATCTATGGTTATGGTATTGATATTTCAATATTAAGAACTCGGTCTGAGAAATACCAGGCTGCCACAGTACAACCAGGACCCTAACTAACTGGCTCCGGGCTGGCCTCTGCAACACATTAGTCTAACCCAACCTGAACTGTTGGTCAATAACACAACAGAAAACATACTGCCAGCATTATGGACCAAATAGATTCATAAAGATGTCAAAGACAGCTCAGCAGGGAGAAAGAGTGAAGAAAGCACCATCAGGGAGGCCAGAGCTGTTCCTCAGGAGGCACACTGCTTCCACACCCAACTTGCCCCATCTAGCTCCAAAATGAGAATTCTCAGATGCTGCTGCTCACAATTGAGAAGGCCAAAAGACAGTATGCCAACCAAGCTGCTAGCCTTCCAGTGCACACACCACTTTGAGGATATGAGGCAAATGTTCCATGGACAAAGAAAAAAACCCATGCACTTGAGCCCCAGCCCTCAGTGAGAGTGGACTGGAAAAACTATGGATGCTTCAAAGCTACTTAAGTTTAATCCCCTCCCCCAAGAAATGCAGGCCCCCAGACAGTAAAAGGGCTATGTCAACAATGAACCAGAAGTGCACTCAGGCAAAAACAGCAACTCAAGCAGACTGAAGAAAGTCCTAATTTTCTCATATAAAGAACTGTTCCACCAGTTTTGCTACTACAGTAGCAAAAACGTGAAGGAGAGACCTGAAGGAACTGACACAAGGGGTGTTTCGGAATGTTCTTTGATGCTAAGGAAAAACGATGATCAGAAACCTGGAAAGCACTCACCATGTTCCACGAAGACATTGCAGTGTGGGCCCCCATGCCTGGATGAGTCTCTCTTCCCTGCCCCCTTGATAAAATGCAGGGCGGGCAAACTAGGCCTTCTTTGGTCCCCAAGAACTTTTCCAGGCTGTTGCCCCATAGAGCAATGATAGCGCCCCTTTCCAGGAGAGGGTTCAAGATCTTTCAGAATGGTCCGCGGAGATTAGCAGGAAACAATATGTACCCAGAACTTCACACCACCGACTCCCAAGTCAGTAACTGGGGTCAGTCACAGAAAGACAACTTCCATGAGAAAGGGAAGCTGGGTCTGAGGTTCACACATGTAAACAGGAGCCTGGAATTCTTTTCCAAGTTAATTAATTCAAAGTCATGTAACCTGACGAGGCTACCCAAAAGTTTCTTGAATCCCAGTCTATGTTGCCGGCTGAGAAGCAGTTTCTTTGCAAGAGGAAAACTTCAGATAGAAATATTCACAGCAAAGTCGGAAATGTATCAACAGTACCAAAAGTCATTTCAACTCCCCGGCGTGATAGAAACGTTGAGCGTCTCTGATGCTTCTCTGCAACTTTTTCTATCGAAGTCACCAATGTCCTATCTCTCTCTCTCCATCTTCTAACAAATTTCCTGCCGCCCTCACTTCCCTACCCTGGTCTCCGGAAAACGACACGGGTCACACAGATCTCAGCGAGAGCCTGCTCTCCACTCTGCCGAGAAGGAATGCATGACCAGCAACTTTTAAGTCCGCTTTTTAAAAGGCCTGTGAAACCAATCCAGACTTTTCCTTTGCATTGAAGTTTTGGGCTGCACCGAGACCAATGGGGCTGTAGGAGACATTGGAAGAAGTCAGGACATCGGAGGGCGGCGGAAGCAATCTGGGAGGACCGCGGAGATCTCTTGACAGTAGGGAGATGATTTGAATGAGGGGCTCCGTGGCCAAACTTGGGGTTGGAATCGAGCGAAGGGCAGCCTGGGAGTGAAAAAGAGACTTCCCCAGGCTGGGCGCGGGCGGCTTCCTCGGAGGCGACGCTCCTCCTCAGGAAACTGGGTGTCCCAGGTAGGGAGAAACTGAGACCACCCCGGGTGTCCTGGAGCCAGAGCAGGGCTATGTGGGACGAAGGTCTCCCTCGGTCCCGAAGCGGGAGGCGGCCACAGGGGAGGAGGCCCGGCGCCTCAGCTGCCCCGAGCCCAGGGGTCTCTACCCGAGACACCCCTCCCCCGGCTCCGGACTCTGCCGCCGCCGAACAGTCACATCCCCGGCTCTGCCCAGGGGCACGGCTTCTCCAGGCAGTGGGGGCTGGGGGCTGCCGTGGAAGGGCTCCTCAGCCGCAAGACCCGGCACCCGGTTTCAGCTCCAGCGCCTCTCACAGATAGACACCGACCCCCGAGGCCGCCATGATGGATTACGAGCCGCTCCACAACGAGGCCAGGCCCCGCCCCCGGCCCCGCCCCCAGCGACGCCGGAACCCCCTGCGCGAGGTCCCACGGGCCGACGGCGCCGCTCTCCTACACGCTGCCGCACCTTCGGGTTCCAGCTTCCCTGCCCGCGACAGCCCGGCTCCGCACGACCTTTTAAAGGTAGCTTTCCTGAGCTCAAGGTGAGCGGTGAAGAAGCGCCCGCCTCCTCCGCACTATCACTGGCCTTCGATAACCGGAGTCAGTCCCCCTCGCCACCATCCGATTGGCCAGTGAGCGCGAGAGCCGCCAACTAGCCACGCTCGGTGCTGCCAGGAGGAATGCCGGGATTTGTGGTCCCGGAACTCACGGGCTGCTCACTGTTGCCCCAGCCGCCCTCAGATAAAGAGAGCTGGCCCCGCCCGCTGGGAGCCGGTGGACTCCGGTCAGCCAACGTCGTCTGTGCTCTAGTAGCAAGATAGCAGAAGATTCAGAGCCAGGGGAAAACTACGGATTGGAGTGTTCCAGAACCGGGGTTGGACTGCTTCTCTAAGCCTCGCTCGGGGAGAAACTTTGGCTCGCTCCTAGAAACCAAGATGACCCGAGCGTTACATCCTCATAAAGGTGGCATAAACGTGGGAACCTGGGAAGAAGTATTGAGAAAGTGAGCATCAACGATCCTTTGGGATAGGAGCTTGAAGAAACACGTTTGTTCCAAGTATGCCAGGCAAGGTTGTGCATTCGTGCATGCTTACTGCGTAACAGTAAGAATCCTTACCACGGAGGAGGAGGGAGGGGCTGATGGGGGGATACAAAGTGAATAAAGTGTAATTAATAAAATAAAATTTAATTTAAAAAAGCTTAAGAAAAAAGAAAATCTAGCAAAAATTAAAAAAAAAAAGAAGCCACAATGATACAAAAAAAAAAAAAATGTTCATAGAACCAAGGTCGTGCTAACACATGCCTTTAATCCCAGCACTCAGGGAGGCAGAGGCGGGTGGCTTTCTGTGATCTGAGGCCAACCTGGTTTACAGAGTCAGTTGTGGGATAGCCAAGGCAACACAGAGAAACCCTGTCTCAAAAATTTTTTAAAAACTCATAGAAAAGTCAGGATAGATATCATAGTATTTTATGCACCTTTGTGCGTTTCATTATAAAAAAGAAAAATGTACAAAGCTAATGAGAAACGTTGACATGTTTATAACTTTATTTAAAGAATTTAATATGATTACTTATAAAAAAAAAAAAAAAGAATCCTTACCACGACGTTTCACAGTCAGACATGCATCCTCAAAACATCTGAAGTTAGGCGAAAACTGTCCAGCCCTCAAAAGTCTGCAAAACTACCCCACCAGTGAAAGTACATGCTCAGGTGCCCCAGCCTTCACTGTCCCTATTACCTGGACCCATTTCTCAAGGGACCCACTCATCACAGCACTCACACTGCCTGCACTTTCACACAAAATGCTTTACACCATGCAATGCTGTTCTCACTAACACGTGAAAAAAAGCATTCATAGCTGTGACAGAAGTGTCGTTTAAAAGTCGCTACTTCTTGCTCAAAAGCATGGCTTTTCTACTGAAGCATTCAGGACCAAATAACTGTTAAGCTAATGTCAAGCAAGTTTTCAGAGGTTACTGGGGGCATCAGGGGTCGCTGTAGTGATGTATGTCTAACTAAGTATTTGAGAAATCTGCCAGGTTGGGAAGTGGCACTTGTTTGAAAATGCCATTTCAAGAGGCATACACTTTTAACACCAGCACTCATGAAGCAGATCTCTGTGAGTTCCTGGCCAGCGTGATCTACATAAAGCTCCAGACCAGCTGAGCTACCTAGTGAGACCCTGCAGTTAAAAAAAAAAAAAAAAAAAAAAAAAAAACAAAAACAAGGCATTTAGATTATTTAAATCTGATTGTCACACTGTTTCATTTTAATATTTTAATAGTTTGGCTGTTAAACTTTCTCTTGTACTTCAAATCTTCAAATTGGAAGCTTTTGTTCCCCTTTGATCATTTACTCATTCTCATCCCGATAACTGGTGTTTTTTTTTTCTTTTTGAAGATTCCTTTCCCTACCCACATTCCTTATTCTCTGAACTTTAAACTAAACAAGCAAATCCTAATTTTTTAAAAGATTTACTTTTATTTTCATATGTGTGTGTGCCTGACTTAGTTTATGTATGCCACTATCCTGTTTGTTGCCAACAGAGGACAAAGAGCATCAAATCCCCTGGAGCAGACATGGTCATGAGCTGGAAACCAAACCCAGATCCTCTGCAAAAGTAGTAAGTGCTCTTACCAACTGAACCATCTCTTCAGCACCTCCAATTGCAACTCTTCAAAACATATTTCTTGAACCATCATTCCTTGGTTTTTGGTTTTGAGAGGATTTCCAGCCCAGACTGCCCTTTAAACTCGCTGTGTAGCTAAGAGTGTCCTTGGACTTCTGAGCCCTGCAACCACCTCTCAGGTGTCAGTTACCGGTATGCTTCACAAAAACTGGTTTAAGCAGTGCTAGGGATGGAACCCAGGTCCTCAAGAATGCTAGGCAAGTGCCCTACCAAAGTGGCTATCCCGCCACTCCTAGCAATCAGCACACATTTACTAAGCACCTACTCTTGGGCTGGCAATACTGCACTGAGTAACTGCCTTCTGACTCACCAGGAATACAAAGGGAGGAGCAGGCAGGCAGTTGGCAAAAGCAGTGATCCAAACAAAACACAACTGGAGAGATGGCTCAGCGGCTAAAAGCACTGGCTGCTGTTCCAGAGGACCCAGGATCAATTCCCAGGACCTGCATGGCAGCTTGCAGCCATCTACTGTAACTCCAGGTCCAGATCTGATAGCCTTTCTGACCTTGGAGTACCTGTTACGCAGACATATATGCAGACCAAACACCCATGCACATTTAAGAATTCAGTCAGTCTCAATACAGCAAACTACACTCGTGGGTCCATAACTTTCCGCAATTGGTTTGTCCTGTGCTCACATGTGGCTTTGGCACCCTGCTGAATCCGCAGTCTATTCTTCATTCGATTGTCTGGGACACATCATGTCATTTTATTCTCTAAATTGGTTTCTTCACCTAAAAGCTAGGGACATTGCTGCTGCTTATTGTCTGGTAATCTTGGGATCAAATTTGACATCAGTTTCCCAGCCGCAGATCTGTCTCTCATTGTCCTTACTGCAGGGTCATCACTGGCATTTATCTGTAGCCTTGTCCTAGACCAATGGTTTCCACTCCCAGTTTCCTTTCAGATGAATTCCAAGCCATGGAGATGTATACTTTGTGATTATTTTTGTTCCTTTTTCGTTTCTTTTTTCATTTTTAGAGAGAATTTCTGTGTAGCCCAGGCTGTCCTGGAACTCACTCTATAGACTATGCTAACCTCAAACTCAGTTATCCCCGTCTCTGCCTCCTGAGTGCTGGGATCAAAGGTGCGCACCACCATCACCAGGCTTACTTGTTCCTCTTAAAGGCTTATCTTTGACTGACTCAGAAACTCTATCAGGGCAACCTACATCTACTGGCATTCTTTTCCTGGGGTCTTTCTTTGGTTTCCTTCATTCTCTTAGCCAAAAGTTCAGCATTTTCTGCAGTTAAAAACCTCCTCGTTTTTCTTAGTGTGCTGTTTCTTCAGAACAGTACAGTCACGGATGCTTGTGTTGCAGGGTGGTAGAGAACAAGATGCTGAGTCTTGAGTGCGTTAGTCCTGGGTTTCTTCCCTTCAGGAGCTTTCTGACTACAGTGGACATCATCTTCATTTGATACTAAGAAGCTTTCAGAGCCTGCCAGCTGTTTTGGACCCCAGCCACCAAGTGCAGTAGGATGTGTCAGCCCATGAATATTCTTTTTGTTACTGTACCCAAGTTGAAAACACTCAGGTTGACATCCAAGAACAGACTTGCCCTTCCTCTCTCCAGTTCTCCTTGGTCTATAGCAGGAATGCCCCTTACTCTACAGCAGGTGGGTGCACTCTCGGTCAAGACCCCTTGCTTCATGGGAAAACCTTGTTTGTTGCTCCCACCACTGATTCTGACCACATCTAACTCTCCTCTCTTCACCCAGAGCATCAGCTGCAACTTTGTGGCCACACGCTTGTGTTCACCTTCCACCTGAGGTTCTGGGAAGGAGATACCCAGCTCCACCTTGACACTGCCTAGGAGGTGCCATGAAAATCAAGCAAGATGTACTACTTTTCAACACTGGAAAACCTTTAAGGGTTCAGACTACAGAACGCAGAGCCCAGTATGTATCTGACATAATGTTAAACCAGTGTTGATGCATCTTGTACAGCTCATATAACTCTCATTTAAAATGGTTCGACTCAATTGATAAAGCAAAGCTTGAAGCCCAGCACTCAGGGAGGCAGAGGCAAACAGATCTCCGAGGAGTTCAAGGCCAGCCTGGTCTACAAAGCAAGTCCAGGCTACACAGAGAAGCCTTGTCTCACGGAGGGGGAATAAATAAAGTTCAGTCACAAAATTTCAGCTCCTTCTTACACTCAATGTAGTTACATTTACCAAGGGCTCCCTCTGGTGGCTATGAAAGCACATACTCAACTGAAGATGCTTTTGAACCTCACTGAGCTGCTCTGAAGCAGACACTTTAGTGTCTTGCCACTATCTTGGAAGAAACAGGTGAGGACAAATGAGCTTGAGTGGGACTCAGGCTCCCATTCCCATCCACTCATAAGATGAACAATCTGGAAACTTCTGAAATTCAAGACAGGCGAGTCCACCTGAAGTTGCAGTACAGATACAGGGAACTGCATTCTTTGGTCCCTCAGAACATAAAGTTGTTATCTCTGACCATCTATGTCTCAGAAACACATACAAAGTTGTCTGGTGCTGTGTGATGGCCGATCTTGATTGTAATTGTGACAGGATTTAGAATCACCATGGAAACACACCTCTGAACAGCTGTACCAGCAAGCTTCTAGGCTGGGTTGAGGCGGAAAGAACCACCCTGTGGGAAGCACCATTCACTGGCTAGAGTTTGGGCTGGGTACAAAGTGAGACAAACAGCGTTCCTGTTTCCTGATCGTGGCTACACTGTGACCAGCCACCTTCTGCTGCTCTGCATGACGGACTGTACCCTGGGTTATCTGGGTGCACTAACAACACTCACCAGGTTATTTAAAATTATAAAAGGTGACTCTGAGTTTGAGGCTAACTTGGTCAACATAGTGGGTTCCAGGACAACCAGGGCTACACAGAAATAACCTGTCTCAGAAACAGGAAAATATATGAAGTTGGAGAGGGGATTTATTTATTTGGGGGGGGGGGGTTCTGAGAGAGTTGGGCCTGGAAAAAGGACGGATGTGATCAAAATATATCCTATACATTTATGTGATCCCCAAATAAGTTTTTTTTTGTTGTTTGGAGGGGGCTATTTAGTTATTTGTGGTTTTCTTAAGACAGGGTTTCTCTATGTAACAAGAGTCCTGGCTGTCCTGGAACCTGCTCTGTAGATCAGGCTGGCCTCGAACTCAAAGATCTGCCTGCTTCTGCCTCCCGAGTGCTGGAATGAAAGGTGTGCAACACCATACCCAACATCCAATGTATTTTTGTTTTTTAAAAAAACAAAAACAAAACAAAACACAAAAAACACTGATTAGTGGGGCTGGAGAGATGTCTCAGAGGTTAAGAATACTGGCTGCTCTTCCGGAGGCTCTGAGTTCAATTCCCAGCAACCACATGGTGGCTTCACAACCATCGATAATGAGATCTGGTACCTTTTGGCGTGTAGGTGTACATGCAGACAGAACATTGTATATCTAATAGATAAATCTATTGTTCAGTGAGGCCCTTGCCCTGCAGGACCCTAGGTTCCATCCATAGTGCTGGCAAAAATAAACTTGGCCCAGTTTAATGGCTCAGTTTGACCCCTGGGACCCACATGGTAGGAGAGAATTGATTCCTACAAGTGGTCCTGACTTCCACATGCACACACTCACACCCATGCACACAAATGTAATATATACAAGATGAGTAAAATGTTAATTGAAAAATGTCTATGAGGGTACTATCTTTGTTTCTGTTTGATGAGACAGTCTCTCCACATTGGCCTCAACTCAGCTTCCACCTGCATGTGGAATCACAGGCCTGTACTGCCACGCTGGCCAGGACACTTTTAAACGAAAACGAAGCACAGGCACCGGCACTCTACCCTGAAGACTTGTACCCTGTTTCAACTTTTAATTATTCAAAAGTTAATACATCACCATGTCAGTTACAAAAGGAAAGGACTTAGCTTTTTCCAATCCATTTTTGTTTTCTCGTCAGAGCATCAAAAAGCACTGTGGGCCCAGAACATTCATTCTCTCAGTTATCAGCTGCAGCTCGGCTTCTTACACACCACCCTCGCAGGCAGTACAAGCACTGCACAGAAAACTGCAATATCTCAGGGAACACCTCAGGCACTCCTTAAGGCTGTCTCAAGGCCATTTCTTGCTGGTGGACCTGTTGGTGGACCTTAGATGCTAAAGGACAGGAACAGTTCACACACACGGGGAAGGAAGCCCAGGCAGAGGGTATGGATCTCGAGAACCTGTCACCAGAAGGAACATACAGTGGGAATCAGATTCCAGCAAAGGCTGCTGGCTCACTTTATTCTTCTATCCATTTGACTGCTGACCTAGCTCTACCACCTTCTCTTCAGCCACACACTTGTGCATTAAATGATGGGGTGGAAGTCAAAACTGACCATTGCTGCTGGCAATGCCACGTCTTTCTTCTTTGGTTTTCATCTTTCTGGGGTTGAGGTAGAGCTGGAAATTGAACCTGGAGCCTTGCACATGTTAGGAAAGTACTCCACCCAGGAGCTATATCCCCAGCCCACCATGTTTTCTACTCAGACAATTTCACAGGGCACTGTGTAGCATGACTGGAAGACATAAATTCTCCAAGTTATTCCAAGGTAAGTCATCAGACTGGGACACTGTGCTCTGAAAGACCTAAAACTAACCCTTGTACTGGGACCCAAGCATCCAAAGCCACCATTAGCCTCCACCCTGGCTTTGTCCCAGACAGGATAGAACAGTCCTGGCTCCACTGCGCTGCTACAGATGAGTAATGTGCTTGTCAGATCCTCCCTGGGCCACATGTGGGGGCACACAGCTGACTTCCCACCCAAAACTGCTCCAGAGAGGTGCACAGTCCCATCCTTCGGCACCTGGCCTCATCCCTCCTGGTCCAAAAGCCTCTGGCGTGTTTCTAGCATGATCTCCTCCATTACTTCTGGCTTTAAGATATCCTTGATCTGAAGAAAAAAAGAAAACAGCATGCATTCATTTGGAAATGTCCATTACTGGAACATCAAGTCAACTAGAATGAGGAAAGGAGGCCTGGCTCACATGCCTTCTGCAGTCTACACTCCACCAGACTGAGAACACACACTCCCGGCCACAGCAAGGGCTCTGGGAGAGCTGATAACAGAGCTGCCCAGTCATCAGACGATGGCTGAGGGGCTGGAGAGCAGTCCAGTGACTAGGAGCAATTTCTGTTCTTTCAGAAAATGCTGGTTCAGTTCCCAGCACCCACATGACAGCTCACAAACGCCGGCAGGCAACTCCAGTTTCAGGGGATGTGATGCTCTCTTCTGGCCTCCAAGGCACCAGGCATGTGCACGTTACATGGACAAATACATACATGCAGGTAAAGCACCCATACACATAAAAATAATCTTTTAATCAAGAAAAATCTTTCTATTGACTTAAAAAAAAATTAAGAAGATGATGGATGAATTTTGGGACAGGGAAGATGAAGTGTAGAAAGCTATTATATATCAGAGAACATGTCAGGGACTCATTAGGGTTGTTTCCAGGCTAGTTCCTGCCACGGGAAGGAAAGTAGAAAAACGAAGGAACACAGGTGCAGCTCACACACGAGGGAAGGAGTTTGGATTAAGTACCTGATGCCCAAGGGAGGCCTCATAGCAGTACAGGATGCTGGTGTCATACAGCATCATTCTCTGAGTTACCAGCAAGACTATGCAGTTCCGAAGCCGGGAGATCACCTCTCGATCACCAAGGGCTACTGGCTACACCAGGACACAAAGGGGAAGGGGAAAAAACACAACAGGATCCAAATAAGCAAACAGTCCCAGAAGCCACGGAAAAGAGAAAGCATACTCATTTCCACCATGGAACTCCACACTACCCAATCAGCAAACCGTGGAATCTCTACTTTTTTTAATATATACACGTACAAGTTCATGTGTGCATATGCTTTTGAGTTGGCACACACATGGAGGTCCGAGGACAACCTCAGGTGCCATCCTGGGAATGCCATTCACTCTCCTTTGAAAAAACCTTACTGGCCTTACTTACTGGCCTGGATCTCACCAGGTCCACTAAGCGGCCGGCAGGCAAGAAAGCCCCAGGGATCCTCGTGTCCCACCTCCCCAGTGCTGGGATCACACGTGCACATCTGACATTTTTATGTGGGTTCTAGAGTTTGACCCCAATTCCTCACGCTTACAACGTAAGAGCTTTACCAATTGAGCCAGCCCTTCAACCATCTGCTGCTGCTTCGATGGCTGTTTGGCTATTACCCTGCAACTTTGCCACCTTCACCAGCAAAGCTCCAGGCAGCCACTGAGTTGTCTCTTCAGAGAAGACAATTAGATGCTCATGAACACTCTTGCTCAGATTCATTCAAAGCATATCGTTTCTGCAGTCAGTGCACAGTGAGCAAACCACAAGTAGCATCAGCAGCTCACACAGACGCAGTGGCCTCTGGAAACACCACCACTGCACTGCTGCAGCGTCTTTGCGAGTGTGTTTGCAATGCCCTACAATGGCAGACTCATGTAACAATGCATTTCTCAGAAAACACCCTAAATGTTAAGCACATGACTGCTGATATAAAAATGCCCCGGGCTCAGTAGATAAAAGCTCTTGCTTAGCAGATCCCCAAAGCCCACATACAAGCTGACAAATCGTACGCATGTGTACCCCCACCACACCCACTGGGAAAGCTTCAGATCTCACAGGCCAGCTGGCAAAGAGACTCTATCTTAAACAAGGTAGAGAAGGACAAACGTCGGCAGCAACAGGTTGTCCTCTTACTCTACATGTGTCATGGCACATAACCCCCAGTCTGTCTCACACACACTCACACACACACACACACACACACACAAGGCAGCAGACTCCGCCTGCCACAAAAGCATAGGGGACTGTCAACCACTAGCTAGAAGGGTGTGCACCCACCTCCAGGTTTGCAATGAAGCCGCCAGCATCCTCATCCTTGTGCTCTGGGGTCGGGTAAATCCATATGAAGCCATTGTTACCCAGAATCACTGAGGCACCACACGGCAAGTCATGGAAATGAGTCTTCTGTCTTTTCACCAGGGAAGGAGAGACCTGGACTAGAACTCCCTGACCTAGCTAAAGAGACAGACCATAAGGCAGGTAGCACGAGCCTATAATTCCAGCACTTGGGAGGCTGAGGCCGGGCTGGGCTACATGAGACCCTGTCTCAAAACAACCAAAAAGGAAATGGATCAGAAGCCAGATAGGGGAGCAGAGCATTCGAGAGGCTGGGGCCAGCTGAGCTATCTAGTAAGACCCCATTCCCACCAAGAGGAGCAGCAAGTCAGAGAGATGAACGCAAAGCAAGATACAGAATGCACATCCCGGTGTACCCGTCACTGTCCTTCCTACGCATACTGCTGTCACCCAGTGCTCAGACAGCATGTACTTAGCAGAAAACATTTCTGGCCCATAGCTATTTCCACATCCCAGACAACATGGAGGCAGTCCGTTGGTGAGATGGTGGCAAAGGTACCTGCTGTCAAGTCTGACAAGCTGAGTTCAACCCCAGAAACCACACAGCAAAAATAACCAGCTCCTTCAAGACATCCTCTGACCTCCACACATGTGCATGCACATTTTCATTTTTTTAAATTATTATTATTGTTTTGTTCTTTGAGACAGGGTTTCTCTGTGTAGTCCTGGCTGTCCTGGAACTCGCTCTGTAGACCAGGCTGGCCTCAAATTCACAGATCCACCTGCCTCTGCCTCCTGAGTGCTGGGATTACAGGTGTGCACCACCACCAGGCTGTCCATTTTAATTAAAAGAAGGTGGCTGTCAATACTGTCACTTCCCTTTGCCTTCTAACCCAGAGCAGATGCATTGGCCATTACAGAAACTAGAGGCAAGGAGGACTCTCCCACCAGTGAGGTAACAGTTCTAGTCCGTGTCCCTAGTTTGGATCTTAACCTCCAATTCCCATGCCACCCATGAGATGTGAGCCACTGACTGGCAAAATCATGCCTGGGCTTGACAGTTCAGCTCTAGGTCCACATACCAACAAGGACATATCAACAGCACCAGGCTGTGGAGGTCAGCACACACACCTTCTTCTACTTCACGTTCAAGAACATGGTGACAGTTACCACTTATTCCTCTCAGAAAATGAGACAAGAAACAAATATGCCCTAATGTATCCTAGGAAGCATGCTGTCTTTAAAATAAACGACCTCAATAATGGAACCTCACAGAAGCAGGCAAAATTCATTTAGAGGCTTAGATGGGAAATCTATCTTTGCTAGCAACAACACCTAGCCAACTGTGTTGGCTGTACTGCAGACATGGGTCTGCAGCCCGCCTCTCAATGCCATGCTAAGCATTTTCCAGAGGGAACAGAGCCTCACAACCCCAAGCAGAGGGGCTCTGCCAGAACGGGATCCTCAGAGGAAAGGGATTTAGGACATTAATCACCCTTTGCCCTGCCACTGGCAGAAATCCCCTCTCCCAGTAGGCACTGGGAGCACGGTCAATCCGCCAGCAGTCCTGAACAACTGAGTTCTGTGTTATTGCTTTTGTTCTGTTTTAAGATGGGGGAAAAAGGGGTTGGGGAAGAGGTGTCTCTCTGTGTAGCCCAGGCTGGCTTCCAATTTTAATTCTCCTATCTCAGCCTCAAAGTGCTGAGATTACAGGCCCTTGACATCACACCCAGCTAACTATCAGATCTTTAGGTCAGCACACAAGGGAACTACAGGGATTCAGAACTAGACTTGAAGCCTCAAAGCCTGACTTACCTTTCCATATTTCAGGCTCCTTGTGTGCAGAGAAACAGCTCCATCCGAGAACACTGCCTGGACCTCTGCCTGTCCAAGTGATGAAGGAACAACAGGAGCAACAATAACCTTGGCAACCCACTCATGTGCCACCTGCCTGAATCCATCTTTCCCTCCTATCACCAACAGGCCACCATGCCCATCTTTGATGGACCCAAAGGGCATCACTTTCCCCTTGGTTGGCAAGAATATCTTGATACAATCTTTTCATGGATACATGCTCATATTATTTAGAAAACTCGAGGGCTGGTGAGATGGCTCAGTGCCATCAAGCCTGACAATCTGAGTTCTATCCCTAAGATCCACACAAAAGAGAACCAACTCCTGCATGTTGTCCTCTGACTGTGCACAGAACATCAGTGATTGAACACAGATATAAACAAATATAATCAAATATCTTTTAAAATGAAAAAGGAAATTTCGATCCAAGCCAGGAATGATGATGACCTATGCCTGAAACCTCAGTACTCAGGAAGCTGAGACAGAGATGCATGTGTCTGAGGCCAGCCTAGGAGACACAGTGAGTTCCAAGCCAGCCTGGCTACCCTTTTTAAAAAGAAAGGGAAGACCACTGTGCCTAGCCTCACCATGGATCACAAGTTACAAAACCTAGGGCATCGTTCTGAGCTAAGGAGAAAGAACAAAGTGGCAGCAGAACCCTGGACACGTGACCCAGGACCCAACCCCAGCAAGATCCCATTCCTTTGGCCAGACAGAGTACAAGCATGCTCGCAGCCCTGTGGGAGAGCATGAAAGGTATAGGATACACTGATGAGGTCCCCTTCCTGTAAGTATCCTCTCATGGCCAGCTCATCCTCTGCAGACCTTCTCCTCTGAAACAAAAAAAACCAACCCTGTGACATAAGCCTCACTCAGGAAGAACTCTCCTCAGTGCTGCTTTCTGCTTGAGGCCAGCCATGGTATTTTAGCCTGAAGAACTGTGACAAGAAGTAACCTGAGCTGGTGGTGATAGTAGCTCTCCCAGAGGGCCCCTCCTGAATCAACAGTCACACCCTCTGACATTCACTGAGCCTGTTTTCCCACTCACCCACCACACGACACACCAGGCTGTCTCCTTCACCCCAGAGTCCCTAACCTCACTCCAAGGCCCTGCCATGAAACAACCACCCTCTGCTCCCCAAATCTCTTTGTTCTCCTGCCATCATATGGCTCAGTTATCTCCTATCCCCCACCAATCCACAAGGTCTTTAAGGGACTGTGCCTCCTTTATTCTGGCACTCTCCACAGGACGCAGCTCGGGGAGCCCCTCTGAGATACATGAGAAACTCAACCATGGTATGTCACTGTCCGCAATGACGAAGTGCCATTCAAGTCACTGAAAACTAAGGACAAGGAGAGCATAGTGGCACCCCACTTTAATCCCAGCATTTGGGAGGCAGAAGCAAGCAGATCTCTGTGAGTCCAGGCCAGCCTGGTCTACACAACGAGTTCCAGGCCAGGGTTACAAAGAAAAACTCCACCTCACTCCATAAGAAAAAAAAAAAGTGAAGGCCAGTTCTTCAATGGACACCTTCCCTGTGCAAGGCCGAGGCACCAGGAAAGGAAATGAGCACAGAGATCCAGGAGCCTCTTCCCAGGTCCCTCCTGAGAGCTGCTCCATGGTGTTTCTGGTCTTACCATACACTGGCTGCTGCCTGTGTTGGGAGCGCAGGGCCAGGAGAAAAGCCTGTGCTCAGCAAAGCAGCAGGCTCTATGACAAAACCAGAACAACCTCAGTGTAAAGTCGAGTTCTCCGCTGAAGCAAAGGCCACACAGCCCAAATGCACAGGTCCAGGGCAAGTGAGCACTTACCAGCTCCCCTCCAGGCAGGTTCATAGATGAGAGGAGCAGGACGGAATCCAGCCTGGAATTGGTCTCCACCTTCCACCTCTTCTGTTGGACCTGGAAGGGAGATGTGAGGCAGCATCTCACATCACCCCAGAAACAAAGGGCCTCTTCAGACTGTCACAGAACGGAGGTCCCATCCCTGAGCCACCACCTCCTTCACTCTGTAAAACATCTTTACCTCTGTGATTCTCCCCACCACGATGTCTCCTACTTCTCCATTGTATCTGCAAGAGAAAACCAGGTTACCCAGCAGCCAGCAGGCTGACCACACCACACACTGTTTGGATCTGGGAACTTCAGAATCACTCCATGTCTTCATTAGCTATCCTTAAAGCAACTGTTCCTTGAAGGCCCTTCCTTTAGATTGCAGTCCTGATTTTGTTTGATTATGTGATAAATGAAAAACACACAGAGCACTTGCCTATGAACAGGGATGAATGTGTCAACAAGCAAGGAAGGAGAGATTCTGAAACAGAACAACATCCATCATCTCTCCACTGCCTGCCTGCCTCAGGACTCTGCTGGTCCCTCACCCTGATCCCAGGGGCAAAGTGCTCTCTGTTAAGGCCCAGGCTTTAGACTATATCTCTTGGTACTCAAGGCTCACTTACAGTGAGCTCACTGAGTTTGGATGGTGAAAGGCTGGGTGTGGTGAGGAACTAAAAACACCTCTAGTCCTTTGGTTTGCTTGGTTTTGTTTGTTTGATTGGTTTTTGTTTGTTCTTTGAGACAGGGTTTCTCTATGTAACCTTGGCTGTCCTCGACTTGCTTTGTAGACCAGGCTGGCCTTGAACACACAGAGATCTATCTGCCTCTGCATCCCTGAGTGCTGGGATTAAAGGCATGCACCACCGTGCCCAGCCTCTTCTATTTGTTAACTCTCTTTAAACACATCAGCTACTGCATGTGAGAATGTTCCTACAGAGAGAAAACCCCAAAGAATAAAATCCAATACCCTTTCAGGTAACACAGAAACAAATTTCACAGAACTCGATACTACTTCCCAGCACTGTATGAGCTGCCATCACTCGGTCATTTGTGAGATGAATACAAGTTCCCTGGTCCAGCTCCCTAAACCTGCCCCGTCTCCCTTCAATGTCCCCATAGCAGCCACAGCAAGTTGATTAAGACAGAAGGCAGATCCCAGCTTTTTTCTGTCAGTCCCTCCCAAGGAATTCCCAGATGATGCAACATGAAGCCCAGACCCTCACCATCACTGACAGGCAGGGTGACCGCCTGCCCAGCTCAGGCTCTGCTCATGACCTCTGACCACTCAGTTCCAAGTTGGCTTCCCTTCTGGACTAACCTTTACAGGCTGCTTCTAGGTACCTGGCTCTTTGTGAAGTACTTTACGTGTAGCATGTCACTGAATTATTTTTTAATGACTTATTTATTTTACGAACATTGGTGTTTTGCCTGCATGGATGTCTGTGTGAGGGTGTTGGATCCCAAGAACTGGAGTTATGACTAGAACTGGTAGAAGCTCACGCTACTACCCTTTACTCAGTGTCCTAGTCTGCCTTCTGTTGCAACCTGGGAAAGAAAGAGTTTTGGCTTACAGGTTATACTCCAGTTCTAGTTGTGAATTGCCATTGGATGCTGGGAATTGAACCTGGGTTCTCTGGAGGAGCAGCCAGTGCTCTTAATTGCCGAGCCAAATCTCCAGCCCATGTTACTGAAATCTAATAACAACACTGAGGCAGCTTTTTTCTTTACAGTGCAGAAAAGGAAAGAGAGGGCTTGGAAGGATCAAATGACATGAGGAGACCTCTGAAGCTCACAGTTTGTCTTCTGTTGCTATGATAAATATTACAATCAAAAGCAACCTGGGAAAGAGTTTTGGCTTACAGGTTAAATTCCATCATCAAGGAATGCCAAGGCAGGAACCTGGAGGTCAGAACTGAAGCATCCATATTCTTTCCCTCCCCTCTCTCCAGAACCCCCCTCCTCGAACTCAGAGAACTGCCTGTCTCTCTGTCTCTCACATGCTAGGATTAAAGGCATGTGCCACAATGCCCAGCCCTCAACCAACATTCTTATATACCCAGGCCCAACTGCCCAGGGATGACTCATCACACAGCGGGCTAGGCCCTCCTACATCAATTACCAGTTTAGACATGCCCACAGGCCAATCTGATGGAGGCAATTCTTCAGTTTAGGTTCCATCTTACCAAGTAACTCTAAATTTGTGTCAAGTTGGCAGTTGAAGCTAACTATGACAAACAGCAGCAGTCAACACAGCAGGCCTACAACAGGACCAATTGTGAAGCTATGGGGAGATGGAAAAAGAGTTGTGTTCCCCACAGATGCTCCAACAGAGAGATACACACCTGTCCTCACCTGGTTTTCAAAGCTTTCACACAGATTAGCTTGTTCACTCTCTCCACAGAACCAGCCACAGATGCAATGAGCTTCTCTTCCCCCATATATGTCCCATGGCCCCTGTTGAAGGACAAGACCACAATGAAAGGATACCAGTGGAGGTGAGCTCTCCCATCTAGAACCTATTTCTTGAACCTGACAGGCTCCTTCTGCCCTAACTGATGCATTCCTCAGAGAGCCACATGGCCATCTCCTTCATCCTTTAGGAGTGGGCTCAGATGTCAAGTTCCAACAGCCTACCTCCAGTATCCTCTCACAGGAGCCTTCCCTACTGCTGCCCCATCCACCCCATTCCCAACTACTCTCCTAACCCTGCTCTCCCCTGTCCACTGCATTTACAACTCCCTGTGGCATTTACTGTTTATGTCTCCTAGCTAGATCATAAACTCCATTAGGATACAGGTTCTCACTTCTGTACTCCATCCACACAGAAGATGTTGAATATATGCTGAAAGTGTAAAGGAATCTTGAGTTTTAGACTGAGGGCCCAAAAGTTCGGACGCCATAGGTCAAAGGAGGGAATCAGGGGCTGACACAGGCGCACCCAAGATGCAGGGAGTCAGAGCACGAGGCTCGGAAAAGAGGGAACCAGTATGGGTGCTCGGATGTGTCCCGGGTACCTCGGTGACTTAGATATAAGGCGGCAGGAAGCCTGAGTTCCGGGACAGAAGGCCACGTGCATAGAGCTCTGCAGCCGCCTTCTGAGGCCTTGGAACCCCCAAATCCTCACGTACCGCATGAAGCCCGTGTCCGTGGTGATCGTGTCCCCCGGTACTACCAAATGTTTCTTAGAGTCGCGGCCCAGAGTCTCGCTGAGAGGTTTGCGAGCCGTAGGAAGCCTCATTTCCATCGCCATCTTGGCGCCAATGACTTGCGCAGGCGCAGCTCACGCCCGCGCAACAATTCCCGCCCACCTTCAGAGCAGCGACCAATGGGAATGTATAGTGTGGCGGCCATGTTAACTACTGGCAACTGTTAAATTAACCTGAAGGAGGAAGGGAGAGCGCCAAGCTGCCATGTTTACTATTGGCAAGAAAGCACCTGTGGAATAAGGAATTCTCACTTTGCAATGGAACATAGCATTGGTTTGGTGTTTGGATGCTAGTTTGGTTTTGTTTTTGAGAAAGGCCCCCGTGTATGACTGGCCTCACACATTGTGTAGTCGAGGATAACCCTGCTGAACTCGGATCTTCCTGTCTCCACATCCCAAGTGCTGGGATTACACAAGTTTGAGTAGGTTGTGGTTTGGGTGGTGTTTTTTTTGCTTTTGATTGGTTTATTGTTTTATGCGTATAAGCGTTTTCTCTGCATGTATATCTCTGCACCATTTGAGTATCTGGTGCCTACAGAGGCCATAAGAGAGCATTGGAGGGCGGTTTCATCTAATCTGAAGATGAGGCTGCTGGGAGAAAGGAGCCGGAATCCTGAGCTCTAAGTCTCCTATCCAAGAATCCACCATTTCCAGCTTTCTCGGGTATAAGAGTTTTCTGAAGGCCAAAAGTGAGTACTTTCTGAAAAGGTTATGCAAATCGGAGCAGCACAGAAGAGGCGAGGGAAGAAGTGGAACACCAGATGTCTAGTCAGCCGAGCACGTCTTCCGCAAAGGCTCCAGCAATGGGGAGAGAACAAAAAAGCCAGTGAAAGACAGCGGCCATAAACCAGAGAAGAAAGCACAGGATCCTGAGACTCCAGGTCACGCTCGTAGGAAGGTACCAATTCCTCCTTGTCCAGAACATCTGCCTCCAGTGAACCTGACTCATCGAGATGTTTTGTGGGCATGGTGCCAAGAGAGGAAGCTGAGCTCCAAAGGACAGAAATTAAAGGTGTATAAACGACTCCTTGCAGGGGCTTTTCCAAAGCAAATGCCTCAATTGAAGAATGTTCCTGACTCGCCAAAAGAGGCCAGGGTGAAGGCATCTGGGAAAAAAATGAAGACAGCGGCGATGGTAGAGCCGTGTTCTGAGGTGACAGTTTCCCTTGAAGTGGTCCCTGTACTGGAGGAACAGGTACCTGCCCTGACTGAGCCTCCTGTTCTCTATGAGGAAGTCAGCACCAACGTTGTGACCACAACTGCCTCTGAGGCAATGTTGGCATCTTGGGCCAGAATTGCAGCCAATGCCAACAGAGTCGAGGCCATGCCGAACAGTGCCATACCAGACGCCCATGAGGAAATGTGGTGTGTGGTTCATGGGAGAAGCTTTTCTTCTGACCCACGTGGCTGGGTTCGCCTGCATTTCCATGCCGGTCAAGCCTGGGTACCTGATAAGAAAGGAAAACTGATTGCCCTCTTCCTGCTCCCAGCTTGTACCTTTCCACCCCCACACTTGGAGGACAATATGCTGTGCCCCAAGTGTGTTCACAGGAACAAGATCTGAACTAAGAGCTTCCAGTCATAAAGGGAGGATCTCTTAGGTTTGGGCTAGCTACTGGCATCACCCACAGAAATGCGGCTGACCCTGAAGTCCACATCTTTGCTTTGAAGGTGCCCATCTCACTCAGAAATTATGGAAGGTTGTTGCTTAAGTATAAGCAGCTTGGAAAAAAGAGTCAGTGAGGCCACCAGAACCCAACAGGCACACCTCTACTCTGCTCTTGAACCCTGGGAGTGGCCTTCTGCTCTTGTGTGAAGATGAGAAAGCATCCTACTTGTTTTGCTGTAAGGAGGTCCTGGGGCAAGAATATGACAGCTCCTGTTACCATCATAGCAAAGTTCAGCAGTCAGCTGTAAGGACTTATTTAGCCTTGCCTGTAACCTCTGCATGCCCTCTCCTCTAGGTTGTGTTGTTTTATTAGTTTTTAGGACTTGGGTTTGTTTTTTCTGTTGTTGCAAAATAATATACCAAATTTGGTGAAAAAAAGAGAGAGAGAGAGAGAGAGAGTATTGGAGCCCCTAGAACTGGAGTTAGAGATGTTTGTGAGCTGCCATATGGGTGCTGAGAATCGAAACAAGGTTCTCTGAAGTGCAGCCAGTGCTGTCAACAACTGAGCCATGTTCCCAGTCCCAAGTTGAGGATTTTTTAAGACAGGGTCTCATGTCATCTAGGCTGGGCTCAAACTGGCTCTGTCACTCAGGATGTGCTTGAACTCCTGCTCCTCCACCACCTCCCAAGTGCTGGAATTACAGGCGTGAACCACCATGCCAAGCTGTAGGATGAATTTTTACCCAGATATCTCATTTTCATCATCTTAGTTATTTCTGCCCAGGTCTAGAGATTGAGAAACGAACCTTGAGTTTCCCATCCAACTCTAAGCACTATAATCTAATGCTTTGCAGGCTCTAGATTCAGGATCAGGAGGCAGGATTTACAGGAAACAGTGTAGGCAGAAGACAGAGCCTGTGAATACTGTGCCTAGCAGGCCTTGCATTCTACAGTAGAGCTGCCATTGGGTGCTGGTTTGGGTCCTCGCCTTATGACTTTCACTGTGCTTTAGTAAGGACCTCTTCTGGGTGATAAGAGAAGCCAGCCACCCTAAGTGTGTCTGCAGTGAGGCCACGTGTACACGCGACACAAAGATCTTTGCTTCTACTCGGTTATGCTCCGAGTGGGTGCTGCTTAGCAGGGGGTGAAATATATGACAGATGTCTCCTGTGGTTTTGTCTGAACCTCCTGTTTGACAGAGGCATTCCCCCCTTCTCCCACCATTCACTAACCCTCATATGCCCAGCCCTGCAAGCTTTGAAGCTCAAGGCTTGTTTGTCCTTAGTTCTGAGGCAAAGTCTGTGTGGCCATAGCTAGACTAAACTTGCTATGCAGACCAAGCTGGCCTTGAACTCACAGAGATCTAGGTGCCTCTTGCCCCTCAAAGGCTGGGACCTCCCAGAAGCATGTGCCATCATTCCCTACACATTAAATTTCAATCTCACAGAATCAACAGCATGGTTCTCCTCTCAAAGGGGACTTGAAAGGAAACTAAACCTTATGTGGACAGGCCTTACATACTGTGATCAGGAAGTCAAGTAAATCTGGTCCTCTCCCTCCTGAAGACGCATCTGGTCAATCTCCAAAGGGTCAGCATTCTTTATCCTAACCAATGCTCACAACTACATTTATCAAGAAAGTCAACCCTGCCAGGAAGTCAATGACATGAAGTCACAGAGCAACCAGGACCTTTCACTCTTCTCCCTGCCTGAAGGAAGCCAGCCAGAGTCCAGACGTTGAGTCAGCTATGGCCATAAGAGGGCGATGGTGTCCTTTGAGACATCCTAACCTAAGCTGCAAGGCCTCGGGGAGGGTCCCTAGATCAAAACACTGGTCCAGTTTCATCCTTTGGAGAAAGACATTGACTTAATGCTGCTCATCCTCATAGCACTCATAGCACAGAGCCTGTAGCAATGAGATGACATTGTGGATACCTAATTATAGAGAAGGTAACTGAGACCCAGGAAGGACTAGAATTCACATAGCAAAGACAGCCACCTTCATTCCATCTGCGCCAATTTTTCCTCAGAGTCCTCACCGTTAACCAAACATCTTCCAGATGCTCCTTGATCCTGTGCTGTGCCCTCCAGCCCCACCCTGAGTGCTCCATAAGCATGTTACTTGACCCTCTGTTAAGCCACCCCAGAAGACAGAGGTCATGCTGTTTCCAGTAGTTGCCCGAGGCCATGGAGTCTCCAGTACAAACCGAGACCTGGGACTAGAACTCAAGATACCAGATTTCCGCCCAGCTGCTCTCTTTGCTCCACACTTACCCTTTCAGCAGCAAGCAGTGGAATGGGCACCTGGAAACAGCTGCACATCTGGGGTTGGAGCAGGCACCTGGAAGCAACACATCTGTGATTGGGTCTTATTAAACACATGGACTTAAGCTTTGCTTGGTTTTGTCGTTGTTATTGTTTTGTTTTAAAGTATAAAAAGAGCAAGTTGATTTGGGAACTGAGGCTCCTGAGCAAGTTCAGCGAGTTCAGCAAGAACAGATTCAGTCCCTCCACCACGCAGGCTTTGATCCCTCTGGGATCAAAGTCAGGTTGTTGGGCCTCACAGCCAGCATCTCCTCAGCGAAAGTGCAGTGTGAAGTCTGTGACTTCAAAGGCAAATCAGATCTGCTATATTTGGTGTGCTTGTGTTTAGTTTATGTCTTTAGGCACACATTTGTGTGCAGGGACAGATGTACAGAGGTCAGAAGTCGGCATTAGGTGTCGTCTTCTCTTGTTCTCCACCCTCTTTTTTGAGGAAGCGGTAAGGAGATAGACACAGCTCCACATTATCACCTCAGCAGTCTGAGGACCACCTTAATCTTTTAGGAAGCTTGACTTAGGCCAAGCAAGAGTTTGTGGCTTTGACACGGAAAATAAGCTCAGGACTGGCCAGTGTGAAACAGAACTGAAAATTTTATCAAAGACATTTTAATGAAGACTTTAAGCCAAAGGGTTATGTTAGGAGAAAGAGGTGCATGGGCCCCTCAAGGGAGAATATCAAGATTAATTTTCTTAGCATTATCCAGGTATACCATTTTGATGGCTTTCAAGTTACATGTTGAAAGGTTGTTAGGAAAACTCTTTCCCCTTTTTTCCTCTCTTTTGATAAGTAAAATTATAGAAGCCCAGGTGGTGGCAGCCCATGCCTTCAATCCCAGGCACTCAAGAGGCAGGCAGATCTCTGAGTATGAGATCAGCCTGGTCTACTTAGTAAGTTCCAGGACAGTCAGGGCTACACAGAGAAACCCAGTCCTGAAAAACAAAAACAAAAAAAAAAAAAAAATTACAGGGTGGCTCTGAAGATGCCTGGAATGGAACTGTGGTCTGCTTAGCTGGAGCTAGGAGCCTTGGATTGCACAAAGATTCAGAGCACACCCTCGGCATGGTGTTTCTGGTGAGATTCCTAGAAAACTGCAGCCTACAGCTAGGAAGAGAGA